GGGGTCCCGGAGTGCAATAGGGCACTCTGCAAAGTTGCTGTGGCTCAGCAGCTCCTTGCATTGAGGAGTCTGCCCCCCCCCCCCGCCCCCCCGCCCCTGATGGTCAGTGCACGTCATACCTACTGGCTGGTCGCTTAGCCTTTTATATATATAGATACAGTATATATATAGATGATCTTCTGGGCCAGGTAAATCAAGATTTTCTTTTGAAGGGAGCGGATACAGTGAACTTTATTGGTACATAAGATAGGACTCCCTAAGCCCCTCCTCTTCCTCAGAGGTTCTGGGATAGAAACTGTGTTGAGGATAGGATTCTCAGGGTGTCAGGGGTCAAGTTGGTGTGACGACTCCCCGGCAGCTGAGGGCCCCTCTCTTCCTCTGTCCTCTCATTGGGGCTCGTGGCCCGAGGGCTCTTCTTGGAGGTGATTTGAACCATAAGGTCCACCACCTATTGCTATAGACAAACTCATTGTCGTCCCAGGAAATGAGCTTGACAAAGTGGTCATGGAGGGCAATGCATCAAAGATTGAAGAGTGGGTTAAAGTTGCAGGAGACAAGCTGGTCCTGTGTAGCCCAAGATGCCCTTTAGGGAGCACTTTGATGCTGCCTTTCCACCTTGATGTTATCATATCTGACAGTTTTCTCCAGATGACAGTTCAAATCCATGGCCAACACATTGTGGCTGGGGACACAGAAGGCTATGCCCGTGTGCTTCCATCCAGCTCAAGGATGACCTTGCCCACAGCACTGTCAGTACCAGAAGCAAGAATGATGTCCTGGGCAGCCCCTCAGCCATCATGACACGGCTTCTGAGGGGCCATCACGGTCTTCTGGTGGCAGAGATGGCATGGGCTATGGCCATGTCACTTAATCATGCCCAAGTTGTCATGGGTGACCTTGGCCAGCGGAGCCAGGCAGTTGGTACAAGAGGCATTGCTGACAATATTGAGGAAGTCATACTTTTCATGGTTCACGCCCATCACAAATATGGGGGCTCCTTGTCTGAATGTCCTGTTTGAGCCTCTTTAGGTGGGTGTTCTGTTTATGCTGCTGGAAGATTCCTAAATGATTCAGCTGAATGTATTTTGAATCTCAGCAGGTTATAATAGACCCAGTCTTAGCTGAAGAACCTTATCCTACCCAGGTAAAATTATTTTATTATAACATCACTGGCCTAGTAGTACTGCATGGGTTTTTCTCAACTTGTCACGAAAGAATCACAGAAACTCTTCCACAGATTGTTGGTGGGGGGATGAATGGATGCGATACAGTGATTCTTGCTTCCTGGGATGGAAGAGTTTTTATTTATTAACAGTCCTCTAGGTCCTCTGTTACTGACAGCTTCAGAGATCTGAACTGAAGTGCTAGCCAGGCAGGCCAACTTTATGAACAGATGGATGCAATTTCACAATTGTGGGTGTGAGAATGGCAACCTTTAGTTCAGAAGTTGAGGGTGGTGATCCTGAGACATCATTAGCATCAATGGCATCTGTGCTGTCACTTTTTGTTTTGTTCATCCTCACCCGAGGATATTTTCCCATTGGTCTTAAGGGAGTGGAAAGGAGGGAGAGACAGAAACATCAAAGTGAGAGACACATCAATTGGTTGCCTCCTGCACGTGCCTTGTCTGGGGATCAAGCCTGCAACCGAGGTACCTGCCCTTGACCTGAATGGAATCCAGGACTCTTCAGTCCAGGGGCCGATGCTCTACGAGCCAAACCGGCTGGAGCTATGTATCCTTTTTATTTCTATTTGTGCCTTTTATTTTTCCTTTGTCATTTTTTGCCAGAGTTGAAATCTATCACTCCTGTTAAGCAATGTAAAATTCTACTGCAAATCCATGAGAACTGGTTTACAGTATGTGGATAAATATATTGAAGAATGAACAAATGAAAGTCCAGTTTGGCCTAGAACACTGGCAGGCAGCTCTGGGGTGGGGTAGTTGGCCAGGAGCAACGTCCCCTCGGCCCCCAGGTGGAGGGCCTGCCACGAGGAAGGCACCTCAGGAGAGCCAACCTGGCTTTTCTGGGACTGTCCACAGATCTGCCTGGGACCAAGTCTCTCTTGAGGGGTCGAGAGCTTGTGCAGACTTGTTTCTGGGCAGCTGGACAGGGCCAAGCAAGGGTAGAGACCAGGTGTGGGAATCAGCAGTATCCTTTGGACCGTAAAAGTCCATCTTGAATGTTCTATTTCTAAAGCCAAATAGCGGCATTCTTCCTCTAGCCCCCAAAGTGAAGGTCTCAGAGCAGCAGGGAGAGAGATGCACACGGTCTCCCTTGCTGCTTCTCGGCCCTGGGGCTGGACAAGGGACAGACTGCGCCGTAGGGATGAGAAGCAGCAAGGAGAGGATGTCTCCCACCCTGATGAGCACGAGCACAATGCTGCCACCTGCAGACACGCCAGGGACATACATGACTTGAAATCTCACGGAGACTGAGTTTCCCGTTTCTCCTTAGAAGACCTGTGCATGGGAAATGAAAGCTCTTTTCCTCTCCTGGGAAGGGACTGGGGTGGACAAGAGCAGCTGCAGAAAGAACAGGAGCCCAGATTCTAGATGCAATGACACATTTTATTCCCTAGGAACAAAGATATGTGGGAAGGAAACAGGAGCATGAATAACAAGCATGAATAACAAAATGATACTAGGGAGGTGTGGCTCAGGAGTCAACATGGACACTCCACAGTGGAGCTGGTCATGCCCTGGTTTCTTAGATTAAATCTGCGCCACTCCCAAGTGCCCATTGGATGTGGGGCTGGAGGCTGCGGGCGGAACGCTTCCCCTACTCTACACAAAGGAGATGAATGTACCTGTCTGTTCTGAGAGGCCTCCCAGGAACACCAAAACCTCCCTCTCAAGAACGGAGGTAGACAGATAAGAACAGAGGGGCCTGTGTGTCACCGATAACCTGAAAGCAGGCACAGCGGCCCTGTGGCTGGGTGCATGGGAAGTAACAGCACTTTGTGGTGGAGGTGGTCGACCTTGCCAGAACAGGCCCATGGCAGTTGCAACCTGCACTGCGGGCTCCACTCACTTCAAAGGAACTTGATCCTCTCCCCAGAGGATGCCCTTCTATCTTCTTTTCTGGCAACACCCTGTCCCACCCTCACACCTCCAAGGCCTGACAGCTCCTAGCACAGACCCCTAGGATTACAGAGTCCTTTGGTGTGGGCCCGGTCACCTGGCCATCCAGCCCCCTGCAGTACACATCAAGTAGTGCGTCCCTGTTCCACAGGGTAGACTCAGGCTGGGCCCGAGTCCAGATCACAGTGAGGTCTCCTGGACGATGAAGGTGGGGCTGCTGCCTGGGTGAAGGGGACCTTTGATAGGCTCTGCCACGGCCTCCTTGTCTCTGATGCCCTTCAGCATCCCATTACTCATCTTCTCGGGGAGCACTGTGGTGTCCCCAAAGAGGCCCTGCAGACACAGAGCAAAGCGAGTGAAACAGGAAGTAGCAGACAAAGGGCTGGGGAAGCGACTCAAACAGAAAAGGTGAGACCCTGCTCTGAGCCCAGCTGGAAGGGAGAGCAGCACGAGGGGAGGGGAGAGGAGAGGCCAGCACGCGGTGCACTCTCCCCACTCAGACCCCTCTGTCCACCAGGCCAGAGCTCTCCTGAGGCAAATACCAGAAAAAGGGGTGCTGGGTGGGGGAGAAAGCAAAGGGGTGGAAGGGAACCCGGAAGGTCCGGCGGTGGTCTGGAGAGAGAAGGAGGGGGCAATGTGGGCAGTAAGGGCGCTACCTGGCTGTGGCTTTTGCAGCGAAGTCGCTTCTGGCAGGACACAGGCAGGAGGGCAAGGAGTTTTGGCACCACTGGGTAAATGGTCCGAGGGTTCAGGGTCCGGCCCCGCATTCCCCCTGAAGGTCAAGGCGCTTGAGTTTTACCAGGTAACCAGTGTTCACAACCCAGAAAGCCCTCTGTTCTCAGGGCTCCCAGCTCCAGCCCTGCCCACCTGCTAGAGCTCAGCCAAGAAACCTGATGGTTAAAGATACCAGGAGCCCAGAAGGCAGGGTCAATTCTCCCCCCAAAGTCCGGATTCCCTGAGCGCCCTCCCTGTCCATCCCGCTCCTGGGTGATGCCCCCCACACCCTCTCACCAGTGAGGAGACTGACAAGCAGGCCCACCACAATGACTGTGGTGGAGTTGTGAGCGCTGTACCACATGTAGGACAGGGAGTAGAGCCGCTGCAGTCCCGTGGGCCTGAGGAGACAGGGGGAGGACAATTCGGTGACAGGGTGTTCCTTGGCCACCTGGCTCCGCTCACCTGCAGGGACCTAGGATCCTGGGATCCAACATTTCCCTGAGGTTTCTGGTGGCCCATTCCTTATCAGGGCCCCTGGGAAACCCCTCAAAAATGAGCTAGTCTCCCTAAGACTCCCCAAGGAAAAAGACAGTGAGGCCCAACTCACCTGGAGAGGGTGGTCGAGGGCATTGGCGTGGTCATGGCGATGGTGGACAGATTGCTAGGCAGGGAAAAGTGGGACCCATTCAAGGGCAAGGGTACCGTGCCAGAGCCCATTCTGGTCACGATGCTCCCAATGCCGATCCAGAAGGCCATGATGAGTCCAGCCAACAGGCCCACAACGGCACCCTGCCAAAGACGGCACACTCTGGTCACACTGCCAGCCCTGCCAACCTCCACACCAGTTCCCACACTCATGGTGACGGCTCCCAGGTCCGTCCCTGCATGGACAGGGGAGCAGATGGGTCACTCACAGGAGGGTTGGCGCAGGGGAAGAACATCCCAAGGCAGAAGAGTCCGAGCAGCGGCCCCCCCACCATGCCAAAGATGCTGATGGCTGCCTGTGGAGAGCAGGGTTGGGAAAAGAACACTTAGGCTCAGAGACGCCAGCCTCACCAACACTGCCTCAGAGCCCCAGCTCTCCCACCGGGAGCCCACCCCATGCAGGATTCCAGATGTCAGGAATGGGAAAGGGAAAGTGCTCTGGGCTCTGCTCTGAAGTGGATCCTGAGAGGTCTCAGAGCCAACAACGTCCCAGGAATGACCCTGGGGCTTTCGGCTACTTGTATCTGTTTCCAGCTAAAGGCAGCCCATAAAGCAGACTTTCTGATGCCTGCCCCAGTCATTCCCTTCACAATAGCTACCTCCTCAATTTCCAGTTTCAATCTGCTCCTTCTCTCCCCGCAAATTGCTTTCTTCCCCCCACAGTCATTACCTGCAGCACTGGTCCCATCTGGGAGGAGATATAGGCCATTCCCAGGCAGAGCAGCCCATAACTACAGGCTGGGAAGAGAAGGGAGGAAACAAGAGGTGAGTCAGCACACCAAAAAGGGGAGGGAAGTAGAGCAAAGCTCCTTCCCCACACAAATCACTGCCTGTGTCGTTGGAAACAGGGCACACACTCCATGCCCCAACTCCGGTCCCTCCCGCCCTGTCCTCACACCTGTCTGACTCAGAGACCCCGGGCAGTGCCCTCAGCTGCGCACGAGGTGGGTGCTTCACTCGGCAAGCAGCAAATGCTGAGCCCCGGCTAAAGGTGGGGCTTTAAAGCAGACGGTGACAGTGCTTAGGGCGAACCCGAGAAAGACGCGACTGAGAGGAGGAAGCATCATCTCACCAAGGATTCTGGAAAGCATGGTGGCCCGGGCTTCTGAGAACTGAGGGAACCAGGGTCGAACCAGGTCTTCCATCGTAACAGTTGCCAGTGAGTTAAAAGCAGAGGATATGGTGCTGAAAGGAGGAAGAGAAAGACAAGGTGCTCTGAGAGAAGCAAACCAACAAGGGAGGCTATTGAGGGACAGTGCCCTGGAGGTAGAGGACGGTGCAGCCAAGAAACCTTCCTCCCAGGTGGCAGCCCAGGAAGAGGCCCCGGGGGCAAGGAAGAGGCGGGGGGTGGGGGTAAGGACACGTGACCTTTTCTGCGTGGGGTACAGGTTTTATTCTGTAGATCAACTGCTTTATAAATAAACGAAGACTCCTTTGTCAAAGGGAGCATCTCCAGAGAGGACGTGCTCCGTCCTACACGGAGGGGCTGCCCCTCGTCACCCAGATGGATGGCATAACGAGGGATCGTCCCCTCTGCCCCTCACCCTGTACTAAGCAGGGTCAGCTGTGCCGAGCCCGAGGGGAAGGGTCAGAGATACCTGAGGGAGCCACTGAAGAGGCAGGCGACGAAGAGCCCAGGCAGGCCAGGCAGGCCCCTCAGGAGATCCATCACAAAGTACAGCACGAACTGCGGGCAGAACACAAGTGCACAGCTCCCTGAGGGGAGCCCTTCCCCAGAGCAAGACGCACAGGAAGCCCCCTGTACGTGCCCCAGCCGGTCTGGATCATCAGGAAGAGGGCCAGGCACTGAGACTCTGGGAAGAGGAAGCACTGGCCACCTTGCTGAGCCTCTTTTCTCTATGAAGGGAGGCTGTTGGGAGGGTTACATGAGACCAGGTGGTGGCAGCTCCCAGCAAGGCATATGTGCCCCTGGTGAGCCACCCAGCAGGGTCAGCAATGTGATCAGTGATGCTGGGGTCCTCACCAAATGCACAGAATCCCAGAGTGGAAAAGAACGCAAATCCACTTGCTGCCCAGGGTGGGAGTCCTTTCTGCAGCTGCCCAGACACTCCTCTTCAGGGGCCCAGTTGACCCTTCCTGGCACAGAAGGCGGCCAGGAAGGCCTCCTCACCTGGTCGGGCGCTGCCTCCGACTGTTGGGTGCTCATGGGATACTCCTTGTAGTAGGTGAACATGACCAGGCCAATGAGGCAGCTCATGCAGAGGACCACCTGCTGGCAAGGGAAGACCGCATAGCAGGAGCTGCAAGAAGCCAGGGGAGAGAGGGGCTTAACAGATACCCTCAAGCATGTCCCTGAGCCCCAAAAAGCAGACTCACGTCCTGACCCCAATGGGGGGCTGTGAGCTCTGACATCCTGTCCCTACCCAGCCTGCCTCCACGGACCTAGGGCCCTCTCTCCCTCCAGCCCTTGCTCCCGCCCTCCTGTCCGCGCACTCACAGTATAGCAGCCTTCTCCGTGCGGGAGCTGAGGTAGCGCTGCACCTGCGCCTGGTTCACCCCATACAAGGAGAGCATCATGAAGACACCCCCGAAGGCCAAGGTCCAGAAAGTGTGCCGCACAAAAGGGTCCGGATCTAGCCTGCAGTAAACGCCACCTGGTCACTGTGCCATAGTCCCAGAGAGACCCAGCCCTCCTCACTCTCCTTCAGCGGGGCTCAGAGGGGAGCAGAGACACCACTGTGAGGGCTAAGGAGCTGCTGAAGGCAAGCACTGGATGGACTCAAGGGATGGTAGCAAGTTGGAGGGAGGGCTCAGTTCTCCAACCTAGGCCTAAATACAACCCGACCCTCCTTAACCACCAGCCACACCGTGATCAGCCCCCACCTCTGCAGTGCCAGCTTCCCACCTCTCTCGGTGCCGCACCTAAGGCTTCCACAGCTTGCCCTCTGCTCACACTCTAGGATAGGTCCAGCTCCTAGGCACAAGAGACCCCTAGGCACGAGGGGTGTACTTACTCGATCCCAGAGATACGGCCATGCTGGGAAGCCACATCCCACACACGCTCCAAGCCGCCCACCTTGGCCGACCCCACAATGATAACCGCCAGCTGCCCTAGGAACATGACCAGTGTCTGGAACACATCTGTCCAGATGACTGCCTTCAGCCCACCCTGTAAGAAAAAGCGCATGCCTGACACCATGTCTTCAAAACCATCCACCACTGAGGACACCCTACCACCAGCAAGGGCACTAGACTGCTGCCAGGGGCATAATTACTGAGACCCCGCTGACATCATTTCGACCCCATCCCCTACCTTCATATGCCATCCCCTCTACTACATCCCACCCACCATAATCCCATCCCATCTCCTATATCTCATTTCATTCCACCTTCTCAACTATATTCTTTTTTGGGTGTGTTAATCCTCACTCGAGGATATTTTTCCACTGATTTTTAGGGAGAGTTGAAGAGAGAGGGAAAGACAAAGAAACATCGATGTGAGAGAAACACATCAATAAGTTGCCTCCTGAATGAGCTATGACTAGGGCCTGGGCTGGGAGGAGCCTGCAATCAAGGTACGTGCCCTTGACCGGAATTGAATCCGGGACTCTTCGGTCCCGCAGGCTCAACTAAGTTCTTATCTCATCTCCTACCTTCTTATCTCATCCATCCCTTCTTTTCCTTTTCTTCCCATCCTCTCTCCTTACTTTATCTCTCCTCCCTCCCCTAAGACTATTGCACTTACCAGAGCAGTGTAGACAGTACAGACAATGCCTAGGGTCAGCACTGAGAGCCAAATATCAAAGCCAGTCACTGTAAAGAGATAAAAGTCACATTTCTGTCTCTGGAAGAGGATTGCCAGGAGGGGAAGCCACAGAAGCCCTGGTAAGGCAGGAAGCACCTGGTCACCTGCCCCTCCCACAGGAGCTTTCCCAGCCTGGGAGCCAGGGGCTAGGACTCCTCACCTGCATTGAGCGCCAGTGATGGTGCATAGAGCACAACCCCCATGTAGATCACCTGTTGGGTAGGAAAAGGAGAACGTGAGGGGAAGAGATGAGGGTGGGCACAGGAGGACAGATGGACCTCAGCTCCAATATCCCAACGGCCTCCTCTCCCCTAGGCTCACTACCCTTCCTTCTGCCAAAGTTTGGCTTGCTGCCACCCTGCTGTCCGTGCTGGAACTTGAAGGGATGCAAAGCAGGGTGCCTCTGGGGCTTCAGTAACCCTGACCCCATGTGCCAGTTTGAGAGCAGGGAGGCTCCAACTGCCTCAGCAGCCTGAGTTCAGGTCCCCCTCCCATGCCTTGGGCTCAATTCTAGCCTCAATCTACTTACCATCTGAAAGATGAAGGTAATGGTCCCACAAACCCGCACAGTCTTATTGAATCGGAGCTCCAGGTACTAGGTAGTATAAAAAAAAAAGAAAAAGGTATTCGTCCCTACTCCACCCCCCACAATTTCCCTCAAGAGGTCCAGAAACACAAGGGAATATCCAATTCATATCCACTCTTGGCCCCGCTCGTACAGCACCCTCCTCCCCCAATCTGACCTCACTTGGAAAGAACCTATGAACACACGATATGGTGCTGTCACTCTCACTAGCAGAGGTAATCTGGGGCTCCAGATCCCTCATCTGTGCCCTGTTCCTCCTCTCCTTCCCCAAGTACCTGAGGTTTCAATGTGCCCCTCCCTCCCTCTCTGCTTACCTCATAGGCACTGGTGAGATGCAGACGGTAGAAGACAGGGATGAAGATGTGTGCAGGGATCAGCAGCCCCAGGAAATAGGAGCAGCCCAGGAACCAATACTGGGTCCCAAATCGGTAGATCTCGGACGGCACACCCAGGATGGCCACAGCTGACTGGAAGGTGGCCAGCAGGGACAGCGCCACGGGAAGGCAGCCCATTTTGCGGTCCGCCATCTGCAGCTGACCAATGGTATGCCGGCCCCAGCCACGACAGGCATGGTAGAGCCCAATGGCAAGGGAGAGAACCAGCAGCAGGGTGAAGACCACATAGTCCACAGGGGAGAAGGCAGTGGATTTTACCGTGCTTGTGTTTGAGGCAGGGGAGAGAGGAGCGAAGGTGGTCACCCCCACTCTCATGTTCTATCTATGACCTGCAGCCACTTGCTGCTCCTGGGGTCTGGGCTGCCACTTGGCTGGGCAGTGGCAAGCAAGTGGCTACCACCTGGCTCTCAAGCGCGTTTCAGTCTTCCTTCTCCACCAAGTGACACTGTCCAGGGTGGCCTGCAAAGGAATCAGCTGCTAGTCAGGCCTATCGTGCTTTCGCAGCCCCCCACTCCCAGGCCTGTGAGTCCCACACCCACCAAACCTGGACCAGCCACTTCTGTGGCAGACCTTGAAGGTCTGGAGGTCTTCATATGACAAAAAGGAGAGAGGAAGCAGCCAATGTTATAGACTAGCAAGAAGCTAGGACACTTCCAGGACAAGTGGAGCAGGGAAACTGAGACAGAAGGTCCCAGGGCGCTCTCCCTCCAGGGAGCATGCCTGTGCCATTCCCTTCCCCTCTCTTCCCCCACAGGCACGTATCCTCTAACTTCTAAGGGACCCCATGAGACTTGCAACCAGGGGAGCAACGGGCAGCAGCAACTTGTCCTGGGTTACCCCCCTCCCCCCGCCCCCAACCTGTCTCCAAGGCCCTCTTTCCCCTCTTTTCTCAGACTTCCCAGTGAGCCAAAGCAGTCCAGCCAGGCTCTCCTATTGCTTCTTCTATGCCCTTCCTTGTTTCACTGCCCAAAGTATGTTTTTACTGCAGTCAATAAATTCTTGCTTGCTTTTCTACACTTTGTCTCTTGATTGAAATTTTTCCTTCAAGAGTCGAGGTCTCCTCCTCTCCCCAGTAACACCAGGAGATAACTACTTGGCCAGCACCTTTTTGAGTACACACAGCTGTGAAATATAAGAACCTTCTTAGGTCTCCACCCCATATCAAAAGAAAAATCAACTCTAGCCCATGTTTCTGCCCCCACTTGTAGGCACAGACCCAGTCACTACAATATACTAAGCCAGCAGAGCCCAACCTGGCGCCACAGCCCAGTGGGGAAGAAGAAATGGAGACTAGTAACAGCATGGTTTCCTCCATTCCCCCTGACCTCAACTCCCACTTCCCATGATTCCCAGTTTCATCATGCTAACAGCACCTCTTCTCAGCACTGATTCCCAATGAGATCATCTCCATGGCAGCCCCAAACTCCATTCCAGGCATCGCTAGGTCAACCACTCCATTCTCCCCAACACTACTAGCCCTGCCACTTATCTCTCAGCTACTCTACCTGCAACACCACAATCAATAGCAGATCATGGAAGAGAAGTGGGATTCAAAAATGAGAGGGGTTCCCTGCACAAAATGCAGGTGAAGCCACAGAAAGCATCCCTACTGCACAGCAGGAGTGGCCACAGCCCTGGCTGAGACGGGCTCTGGAACAGAACCTGACAGCGATGAATCAGTGGCAGAGCCTGAGGAACAGATTCCACACAGGCCACCACAAGCCCAGCTGGCAGCAGCAGCTGAAATCAATGAAAAGGCACGGAAGGCTATGTCCAAACTGGGTCTTCAACAGGTTACAGGGGTTCCTGGGGTCACTATCTGGAAATCTAAGACTATCTTCTTTGTCGTTATAAAACCAGATGTCTACAAGAGCCCAGCTTCAGATATCTACATAGTTTCTGGGGAAGCCAAGATCAGGATTTATCTCAACAAGCACTGCTAGCAGCTGCTGAGAAATTCAAGTTTAAGGTGAAGCTGTCTCAAACATTAAATAAAATACAGACTCCAGAAAAAGGTACTTAAGAGAGAGAAACCAAGATGGCGGCATCGGTAAACACCTGAAATTGCTGCCTCTCACAACCACTTCAAAAATACAACTAAAAGACAAAACAGACATCTTCCAGGACCACAGGAAGGCTGGCTGAGTGGAAATTCTACATCTAGAAGGAAAGAGAAAAGCACACTGAGACTCAGAGGAGGTGTGTAAGTAAAGTGCAGAGATACGGAGGCGTACGCGGAAAGAGCTGGCAACTGAGGATGTGGCTGTCTTTTTCAATCGGGAGGGAGTCACAAGCTCCCGACGGCTCTGAACTCCAGTTCCTCGAGTCTCTGGGGACCCAGACTCATACGGGGAGAAACTGGACTGTCTGGCATCAGTCGGAACTCCAGGGCGGCTTTCTCTCAGAGGTGCTTGCAGCAATTACCGGGACACTGAGACACGGGGCCTCTTAAGGTAGGACTGAGGAGCAGCCATAGCTGTTTGCTCCGCCCTGTTGATTCCCTGAGACCCCGCCCCATCCAAGCTGTGAGCAGAGGCTTTTGTATATGAATGGGCTGGCCCTTTGAGATCTAAAATTACCTAACAAACTGCAGCTGGGTCAGAAAGACCCAGAACATCCAAAACAAGGCCCAAGGCCCCACAGCAGCTTGCATTGCTTCACAGCTGGGCCTCATTTGGGCACCTCCAAAACCCAAACAAGGAAGAGGAACCTGCAGATCTCTCCATAGCTCCTGCTGGGTAGCCTCAGGCAGAGGCTAAATTAGCACCTCCTTAGGGATCCAAGAGCCTGTGTACCCAGTGGTCAGAGTGGGACCATCCAGATTACAACTCCTCAGATCCATAAGAAACACACTCAGGGAGCAGACTCAGTGAGCACCAAAGCCCCACTGAAGCAAGTCTTGCCCCAGAAGGGTGTCTTCAGCACAGAAGTTCTCCCACTGTAAACACAGCTGATTTTCACAGACAATTGGCCTGGAGGTCAATTCCTCCCAGTGATACCAACAACAATCAAAGCTTAACTACAACAAGACTGTGCACACAGCCCACAAAGGGGTGCACCAAGAGTGTCCACCTCAGGTAATTGGGGAGGCTGAGCCACTGGGCCCTATAGGACACCTAGCACACAAAGCCACTCTACCAACACAGGGAAGCATAAAAAATGCGGAGACAAAGAAACAGATCACAAAATACAGAAATGGAGGAAAGCAAACTACTGGATATAGAGTTCAAAACCACAGTTATAAGGTTTTTCAAGAATTTTCTAGAAACTGCCTATAAATTTAGTGAGACCCTCGAGGATATGAAAAAGGACCAACTAGAAATTAAGCATACACTGACTGAAATAAAGAATAATATACAGCGATCCAACAGCAGACAAGAGGGTCCCAAGAATCAAGTCAAAGATTTGAAATACGAAGAAGCAAAAAATACCCAACCGAAAAAACAAAAAGAAAAAAGAATCCACGCCCTGACTGGTTTGGCTCGGTGCATGGAGCATCGGCCTGCAGACTGAAGGGTCCCAGGTTCGATTCCGGTCAAGGGCATGTGCCTTGGTTGCGGGCACGTCCCCGGTGGGGTGTGTGTAGGAGGCAGCTGATCGATGTTTCTCTCTCATTGATGTTTCTGACTCTCTATCCCTCTCCCTTCCTCTCTGTAAAAAATCAATAAAATATATTAAAAAAAAAAAGAAAGAAAAAAGAATCCAAAAATATCAAGATAGTGTAAGGAGCCTCTGGGACAACTTCAAGTGCACCAGCATCAGAATTATAGGGGTGCCAGAAGAAGAGAGAGAGCAAGATATTGAAAACCTATTTGAAGAAATAATGACAGAAAACTTCCCCTACCTGGTGAAAGAAATAGACTTACAAGTCCAGGAAGCGCAGAGAACCCCAAACAAAAGGAATCCAAAGAGGACCACACCAAGACACATCATAATTAAAATGCCAAGGGGCTAAACTCAAAGAGAGCCTCTTAAAAGCAGCAAGAGAAAAACAGTTAGTTCCCTCCAAGGGAGTACCCATGCGATTCTCACCTTCTTTCTCAACACAAACTATGCAGGCCAGAAGGGAGTGGCAAGAAATATTCAAAGTGATGAATTCCAAGAACCTACAACAAAGTTTACTTTATCCACCAAAGCTATCATTCAGAATCGAAGGTCAGATAAAGAGCTTCACTGATAAGAAAAAGCTAAAGGAGTTCATCCCCCCCAATCCAGTATTATATGAATGCTGAAAGGTATTCTTTAAGAAGAGGAAGAAGAAGAAGGTAAAGATAAAAATTATGAACAACAAATACACATCTATCAACAAGTGAATCTAAAAATCAAGTAAATAAATAATCTGATGAACAGAATAAACTGGTGAATATAATAGAATCAGGGGCATAGAAAGGGACTGGACTGACTTTCTGGGGGGGGCGGCGAAGGGGTGTGGGGGGGGGGGAG